CATTAAATCCAAAATGTGGTGGTACGGTCTTCGTCAAGTTGCGACCAAGCTTAACGACAGATTAAAAAATTTCGTTTTATCTAATAATTCCCCCAACCATTTTACCTCCAAAATGATGAACTTTGTTTTTATATTCTATACAGCACATGGATATCATGTTTTACTTCTTCAGAATGATGTTCAAGATCAGCAATGGGATGAAGATTAGCGCCACTTCTAGCAACACTAAATTCGATAGCAAGGTTAGAGGCATTTCTCAAAGTTCATCGAGGATAGAACTGCATTAGCAAAACACCCTTCTCTGCTTTTATATACTACTGGAGTGAAGCGTAATTGGGGAGAGGTCGACCATGTCTTTGTTTCAGTTTGGATGGAGAAACATCGTCAACTTCCCTATTCAGATGTTGGCATAACATTCCCATAATGTATTATCTCCCGTGCTTGCGAGCTTTGGATGCTAATTAAAAAGATGACTACAATCAAAAAGATATCTCAACCAACGTCCAAGATTACTTGAAACATAAGAGAAAAAATAGTTACTTGGAAGTATAAAACCCGTGGAAACACTAAGGGGCCTTTCTCTTCGTGTTTCAGTTTTGAGTGTCTGTTTTGAAATTTCTGAAAATACGTTCTTTTTGTCATTTTAAAAAACTGTTAACGAAAACATAAAAATGGAAAACTCGTTTACTTTGAAATTTTGAGAATTTTTTTAATAATATTTTATTCAAAAAAATCAAATTATTCAATAAATTTTAATGGTTTAATATTAATATAGTATTAAATAACATATAAATTTTGAACTTTGTGAAATGTCAAATGTTTTTTTCAGATATAAAAAACACAATCTAAATTACATTTGATAAAACAGTTCAATCGATACGATTAGAAGTTTACATGACATGACAAAATAAACAGATACTGAACAACATACAAAATAAATTCACGGAGTCATGTATGACGTCTTGAGTAAGCATTCCACATGTGTGTAGCAATTGCTCCCTAACTTGTTCCATTTGAGCTGTTTGACTAGCATCAAAATGTATGACTTCTTGATCAACTATTAGCGAATGAAAATGATTGATCCAAAAAGATCTATAGTAAAGAGAATA